TAAGTCGCCGTAACTTTGGGCGACTTTGGGAAATTTAAGGCGACTTAAGGCGACCTAAGCAAAATTGGCAGAAAAAACATTGCGACTTTAGGCCATTTAAGGCAACTAAAGGCGACTTAAAGTGATTTTATTTGACTGAAGTGATAAAATCAAAGTTAGCTAGGGTCTCTCCATGAACCTTAAAAGTATTTACAGAATCCCTTGCAATAAACACAGTAGTCGTTTTGGTTACTTTTGTATGCTCATAAGTCACCATAGTCTAAATATCTAGATTTCAGACCAATTTAGCAAAAAATAATTAGACAGAACTACTACAACAGTTATTGTTAAATTAAACAGTCAAAGCTAGTGAATAGATAGCCAGGAAACCAATTTTAGTTTAAAATGTTTAGACAGAATTACCACAACAGTTATTGTTAAATTATACAGTCAAAGCTAGTGAATAAATAGCCAGGAAAACATTATGGGTTATAAGCCCAATATCAAACAAACCTATCAAAAATATACACGTAAAGACACACATTTTTAATTTAAGAAAAGAGACATGATTTACATAAAACTATCAATAAATTTTATACATAATTAAATATATCTTGATTATTTAATTATTTCACAAAGCTTCACAAATTATAAAATTCTTATCATGGTAAACTTGTCACCCAAATTTTTGCTCCTTGCACTGTCAAATTTGACATGAAAGTTTGGCAAGTCGCATGCCTTTGACAGCATCCAATATTGCTCGGTCCTTTTCAGGGACCTAACCAATTCCCCATTTCAAAAACGAATGGGGGAGTGGGTCGAGTTCGCCACGCAAGTTTGTCTGGGATCTTTACTCGGGACACAACTCCATTGTAAACAAATTTAGTTAACAAAGATTTGTGTCTTGAGTAACGATCCCAGACAAACTTGCGCGGCGAACTCGACCCACTCCCCCACTCGTTTTTGAAATGGGGAATTGGTTGTTGATCTCCACCCCTGTTAGACAAAACACACCAATACCTTACTAAGGACCATATGCTTAGGTCCTTCGTCAAAATACTTCCTTTCCAGTCTATCCAACTACTTTTCTGGCAGCAGAAAACTTCAACGTCCCAGTTACAGGGAAGCTAATCTTTTTGGAAAATCTTTTTCCACTGTTGATCAGATCAGCAGGACCTCAGTTCAAGCATTCAAGTTTTATTTTTAGCCTGGTGGTAGTATTACAGGTTTAAAAGCATTCATTGTACCTTACAATTGTCCAGAAACTAACGAATCACGACCAAATTCTCCAAGCTGATAACTGGCTATAGTCTCCGCCATTTTAATCCTCCCAGCAACCTTTGCGCCGTTGACTAGTTTCCATGCTTCGAAGTTAGGAGCGGGACAACGTTCGAAGGTTTCTCCCGCCAAGTACGCCCATGACGGCTGCCCAAAAATGCCATGCAATTTCAATTTGATCACGGCAATTTCAATTTGATCACGGCAACTTCAATTTAACCACGGCAATATTAATTTCAAGTTGACCACGGCAATTAATTTTCCAAAAATAAACTATAATATTATTTATACTTGCAAAACTCCCTGAAGAAGTCAACGACAGTTGGACGAAACGCGTCGGAAATTAAGAAGTTCTACAACTAATGTTCGCAGAAGTGCTGCTCACTAGTTTCTATTTAAAATTTCCCCTGACTGCGTCGCGAGACAACTCGAGCCATGAATCAAATTGAAATTGCCGCGCTCAAAAATTGAAAATTGCCTTGGTGAAAGTAAAGTTGCCGTAATCAAATTGAAATTGCCTTAGCTGAATTGAAGTGGCCGTGATCAAATTGAAATTGCCGTGGTTAACTTGAAGTTGCCGTGGTCAAATTGAAATTGCCGTGGTTAAACTGAAATTGCCGTGATTAAAATGAAATTGTCGTGGCACGTTTTGGCCACAGTAGCTCATACTATCTGCTATTACAGAAAAATTTCCTTTACTTTACCTCGAATTGTGTCACTAGTAGGATTTTCTTTCCGCATTGCAAGCAGGTAAGCAGTCAGTAGACACAAAGTGGACTTTTTCTGTTGGAGTGGATTGGAAAGAATGCAGGCCATAATGTCTACGCTTTGCTGAGCTTAGCATGGTTTCATAGTTTCTACGTTGAGTTTTATATATTTTTAGCGCTAGCAGAAAAACTCGAACTTAAAATCCAATCGTTACATAACGAAATGAAAGCTCACATGTCATTTTAACTACGGGAACTACTGGCGGGTTCCGGGCAATTCCTCGTATACTCTGTCACGTGGAGGTTCGGTAGACTCCTAAGGAACTTCTGCTCTATCAGGCAAGTCTTCAATACAACGGCGAAATTTGAGATAGCAAGTTATAAGACCAATAATGCAAACAATGACTGCTATGCAAACAATGAATCCGATAAGTCCTCCCGACAGTTCTTCGTCATCGTCTAAAGCTGTAATTGAAAGTGATACAGACGTTAGTGATGTGAAAAGTGTACACCGCAAGAGTAAAATACTTAGCCCATTCTCATTGGCTAACTTGAAACTGATCATAACTCAGCGAAAAGAAAAGCCAAATCACGATATAACTCAGCGAAAGAAAAGCCAAATCATGAGTTATTTGAGCACCACCTTTTTGGTTTCCTCGCCCATCGCCAGACCTGTTGCATTTACAATCCTGACATACGGGTTCACGATAAGGTATTCTATAGGGAGCACAACTATCGATTTTCGTTGACCAAGGATCTCTGTCACCCGTGCAGAAAGGATTGAATCCTCCAATGACTTTGTCGAAAATACCTTTCACCACATCTGATGGAGCACATGACACTTGCCATGCCATTGCTACACACACTTTGGCCTTGGCACGTACTCTGCAAGAAAGCAAATGAAACTTTAGCATTTATAATCCTTGAAATTTCTACACAGCAAGAAGCTGTCAAGGTCCAATTTTTCGCGGATGTAATATCCTTTCTTTTCAGTGAGAATAAAATTAATAGCGGAGCTCGCAGCGCGCGCAGCGTAGTTCCATAACTATAAAAAAAATGGCAGTAGTAACCCATCAAGCCGAAAAAATTTGGATTTAGGACCTTACGGGCGTCCGTACAAGGTGCTGCTTTGTAATCTATGACGCGCCTCTCCGGAATTGGAAATTTAAACCAAAGCATCTAATGATCAAATGATCTATTATCGGTTGTTTAAGGGATTGTCAACTTATTAAAACTAAAAAGGATCCAGAACGTTATACACATGCAGTTGAAAAAGGCAAATCGAGTACTACCTGCACATGGTATTGCTCAAGATGTTGAACTTAAAAAGGTTTGAAAATTCTCTAGTGCACTGGACTACTTTGTCCTTGAGGGACGAAGAACACGGGGATAGAGAGAACAATAGAGGTATTTCCAGGTCTAAACCATAACAGTAAATTGTCTGAATCTCTCTGATATTGGCAGTGTCCATTGGCTCTGTAGCACTGCCACAGGTGACAGCTTTCTGAAAGGAGCGGTAGTATAATATCCAAAACTGGAGCCTTTGAAAAACCAAAAGTAAAAAGCATTATAAAATCTTTACAATGATACAAACGCTAACATAGATCATTGATAAGTTGGTTAAGGCAAGATTAGGTAAGCATGCACGGAATAGCTCCTTTTTTTCTTAAGTAATCAATGTGAAATCAGTGGTGGGCTATCACTGATAACTGATAGATAAACTTTATATGAAATGCGTCTCTGTACAGAGCGCTTTGCGATGGAGTGTAGTGAAACCAAACTCAAAGTCATCACGGTGGCCAATTAAAAGAGAGGAAAATTATCCTTAAGAATCCAAGACGTGAGAACTCAAAGTTGAACAACCAAACTTCCTAAAGCGCGGGAAAACGCGGGCGTCCAAGCTGGGATTGGATTTAGTTTGGCGACTAATTTAAGAGAGTGGTAGGAGTTTTATGGACCATTCACCGAGCGGAGTAAAGTAAAACTAAGGCAATCTCGGATTACTTTCAACACTCAATTAAAAAGTTATCTAGTTGGTAATTATTTTGAATGCGGCAAACGACACGGTGAAAGTAAATGGGAAAGTTGTTGTCAGTTAAATCCGGCTGAACAGGTTATGATAGCGGAGGTATTGACATACAATATTTATCCAAGAAAGGTAAAAAAGAAAAAAAAAAAAGGAAGAACGTCCACTTTAATATCTTGTCTCTTTTTATAATGAGATAAAGCCAAAACAAAAGTTATTACAACAGCCAATCAGAACAAGGGAAAATATCTAAAGGAACCAATGAGAAGGCAGGAAACCGAGTAACCTGCGTAAAGCATGGGAAAACGCGAGTGACCATGGTGCGATTGCTTTTAGTTTTGCATCTCATTGATTGAGAGAGTGGCGCAAGTTTTCTGGACCAATCACAGAGCGAAGTAAAGCAAAACCAAAGCAATCTGGGATTACTTTCGACACTCGTTTGAAAATTACTGTTCAAAAATCACTTTCTTACCCGCAATCAAAATCATGTCCTTGATGCAGCCTTTTAAAGAAATGTGACTCGTATTCTCGAAGAGTGCAGTAATAGTCCAAGAAGGTACAGTTGCCAACGTTAGGAAGGGCAGCATCACTTTGTGGCAGACGACCTGTAAATCAGACTTTTAGTCAAATCACACGATGAAACCATCGCTAATTTTTGTATTTGCTGTCTAGTACGTAAAACATTGTCATTAAAACAAAAAAATGTTACTCCTTTTCGGCAATTTACGATATCGAGTGCACCACAGAACGGTCACGATAGCTTCCTACCGATGACGGTTGGAGACTTACGATAGCTTCGATTTCAGCATTTTTAGAAAGAAGCCTAAAAAAAAAAGTTATACTGCCCTCATTTCACTCAGCATAAGAAGCATTAAGTCCTCGAAACTTGTAGCGGGCACGTCCGTAACCTGACTTTCCTCGTTTATAATTTTGTGATTATCTAAATTTGCTTTAGTTACCGCATTGTAACATGATGTAGTGTTAATTGGATGGCATTTAGTACTCAGTCTCAAGATTACATTGATATAAGGAGTTGGTCACAAGATATTTGACATTTAAAGGGTAGGGATCAGAGGATCCTCCTATGAATAAGGTTGAAATTAATGGGCACCCCCTCTTCTGATCCATATGTTTGCTTTGACCTATCTCCTCCCCTTTAATATTCAGGGGTATATCAGATGTCAAGTTTAATACCAAAATGATTGGAAGAGCATGTGTGACAGACTTAGAATTGCTTTATTTTGAGGAAAACTACAGATAAAGCATGAAGTTTGATGATTATCAGAGTAAGAGAGGCAAAGGATGTATTTATAATGGACAAGCTGAAAGTGGCAAAACAACGAACTAGGTGAAATGGTAAAACCGCTTTCTAATATATTACGACCCAATAGTTCTTTTCTATACCAATTAAGCTGTAGAGAATGTGGAAAAGACGTTAACTGATACAAGGTAGGATGATGTTGTTGATGAAGGATATGACGCACTTGATGAAAAAAGGTGATTTATAGATGTTTTACGTTTGTCAGGTATTTTTGCGAATGGAATGGCAGAGACATAAGCAGGCTCAAGGACAAAGTGATACCCATTGAAGAATTCAGCATGGCACTAAATAAATGGATAGCACTGATTTACGAGGCCTTCACATTGTACGGCAACAAGATTTTCATGTTTGGAGACCCAAATCAATGTGAACCTGTTGGAGGTGGCAGTCAACTACATTAAAACTATCTTAATCCCATGATTATCTTTGAAATGTGTCCCAGAATTAAATAAGACTCTTAACATGATAAATAAATTCTTCGACTAGCCGCTATCACGAGGAAACACACAAGATGCTTGCTAATCTTGAATACAGGAAGAATATCGACTCTTTCAATCCCGTCGACAGAAAACTGTACAAGAATATCTGTTATCTGAACTCAACTAAAATAAAGGTAAACACAGTGTTGTAATAGTTTTTGTGAAAATAAAAGATATGAGACGATTAATTTCAAATGCAACGGGAAAAGAGAAAGATACAAAGTATATTTGCCGGAATGCCTTTTATTGCAACCCGAGACAAAGAACACGGAAATGTATTCAACACAATGGAATTCATCAGCGATAACATGTACGAAAGAACTGTTTTTGTAGAGAGTGATGAATCATATCGAATTTGCCGAAAAATTCATTCCAAGCTTGATGTTCTTGTGTACAAACACCAAGGAATGAGGGTATCGATGGATGAAGTGTCAATCGGATGCAGAAGAAATAGCTGTATACAGCATTATCAAGAACACGTCAGTTCGATTTCGTTCACCTGAACTTCAAAGATTTGAATAACAACTATGTCGACAATTATTATTAGAATTATTATTAGAGTTTGCAGCCTTTCGAGTACCTAAATATAAGGAGTGACCGCAGATTGCCAGATGCTCCTTAGAATGATTAGGTAGATTAAAGTGTCTAGCGACTGGTTTTGATGCAACCTTGTCATTCCTTTCTACCTCGCAAAGGTGTTCTTGGAATTGGTCACCGAGTCGTCTTCCTGTTTCGCCAATGTATATCTTTTGGAATAAAAGCAAGTTATGCAATAGATGACGTTGGCGGAGGTGCACGTGAAGTGATCAGTGAGCCTAATGGATCGTTTGGATCCCAATATTTTCACAGCGTTGTGAACGAAAGGACAAGTTTTGCATCGTACGCGAGCGTACGAGGAGCATATGGCAATCTGCGGTCTTTCCTTACATTTAGGTAACTCAAAAGGCTGCAAACTTTTGAACGAAAGTTTATCTTAACGAACGTTTCTCATTCTACTAATTTGTGTTTTTCTCGTCATCATGTTCCTACGTAGCTCCACGTTCTGCATACAAACCCACACACAACCCACAATTCCTCTATACAATTCCTCGATATTTACTTGAAGTGCCGGGTTGATCATTAGTTTGGAATGATCTTCTCACCAAAAAATTGTCAGTGTTTTCGTCGCGTTTGAATGAAATGAGTGGAGGTGGCAACCTCCACTCTTTTCTTTTGCTAAATTGATGACTCGAA